TAGACTAACATTGTGTTTGATTAGGAAGGAGAACGAGGAAAATAGATGGTAAAGAAGGGTCAAGAGAAAAAAAATTAGGTGAGATTAGAGGGAGAGAAACCGATGTGTATATTTTAGGTTTTCAAAACGGTGCAACACCATTTTTGATTTTTGGAAATATTTTGATATTTCTAAAACAATTTTTAGTTTCCAGAATCATTTGGGTTACAAGTTTCAGATTATTGATTTTTTATTTTGCAATTCTGGAGAAGAGCGTACTGGGAGAGGAAGATAAGGAGTGGGTGTGCATATTTCTGGTGGTGCACCATTTTTTGATGATAGTGTCGGTGGTTAAATGTTCAACAAAAGAGGAAAACATATATGTATTTTAGATTTAAAGTGGGACGGACGCCCAATTTTAATTAGATTATTTTTCAATAATTAAAAACAATCAGAAATGTTAAAAATAAATGAAAATTAAGATTGAAAACGACATTGTAGTCTTTTAATGTCTCGCAAGGGATTAAACGTGTAAATTTAAACTAATAGTGCATGAAGTGTGCAATTTCTAACCAAACGAGTGATACTCCGAGTTAATTATTGAATATGAGGACTGAACGTGAATTTTGGTACCTAGACGATAGACGATTTGTTTAATTCCTCTGTAATATTATAAATGACAATTTTCTAAAGTAGAATGCTAGTGTTGTGTTGTTGTTGTTTATTTATTTATTTTTTATTTTTTTTTATTTTTTTAATTTTATCTGTGATTACCATGAGTATTAACTTAGTAGGATAATGTTTGAATAAAAATTAATGTGAAAGAAAAATACTTTACTGAAAAATATAGAGACAACATTATGATAAAAGAGAAATAACTAATTCAGCATAAACAAATACACAAATGTACACTCATAAATAAAGAATATAAAAATAAAATTATCATGAACCGGAAACCAGAAATAAGAACATCAATAAACAAGAGTGAAAAGTTAATATCAATAATGAAGGACATAAATATTGTACTCAACAATGGCATCTCGATTGGTCGCATTAAGAAAATAAGTCCGAGCTTCAGCATACCCTCGAGCAAATCTGAAAACACCACTCCCTCCAATCACCGGGAACTCTCTTACCGGCAACATAAGAGGGTTCCGACCCAATATACTCAAAGTGCTTCCATTATACCTTTCTTCATCAAACACATAGTTGTGAACCATCATAAAGCTCATATTATTCAAATCCGCAGATGCATACATCCCTTGAGCTCTTCCCACCCGAGTAGAGTTAGGTTCCGGCCCACTGTCAAGAGGTTGTCCACCATGATCACCGCCCCAAATCCGGTGGCGGAAGTGTTGGTAATTGGGGCTTCAGCCACCCGAATGGCGGTTGCATTTGGGCCGCCAACCACGTTGTGGTAGAAAAAATGGAGGTGCGTTAGGTTTTGCTTTCCACGTGGCATCGCTGTTCGTCGCAAGCTGGTTGAGAAAGTCTGGGATTTTCCGGCGAGGAGGAGTGAGAGAAGGACGACTATGAAGGTGGTGGCAGCTGTGGAAGTGGAGATGAGATTGTTTGCCATTCAGTTCGATCTTTTAATTTGAGAAATAGCTAGAAAGTGGTGGATTGAGATGTTTTTTCCTTTGCATGGTGCTTGCCTATTTATATATACTTGAAAGTGAAAACTTTTGCAGAATAACTTGTCATAATAAATATTTCTATATATTAATACTTCTATGATGTAAAAATATTGAATAAATCTAAAACCTTGAACTTGATTATAAAAAACTGATTACACGTTTTTTCAGTATATATTTTCTTATGAATAAATCTTCAACCTGAATTTTTTTATACATTTACAAGGGTAAAACTAAATATTATTATACATTCAATTCATCCTTGTAAACTAGGGGCAGAACACGGGATTTAAAAAAGGGGGTTAAATATATATGATACTTGAATTCAGTTGAATAATTTTGTTTATAAAACTATAGAGTTGAAGAAGTTTTACGATGCAATTCATCTTTAAATGTGATATAAAAAAGAAACAGACAAAAAAATCTGCGACTATAATTGTTTTGGGTAGCTGTCATGATCATTTACAAAAATACAATGTTGAATGTTTGCGCCGATTTGAAACTAACTGATTGTATTGATCCTTCATATTTTTGATTGGTGGATGTGCATGGTTTTGAAACCTTTATGGCATCCACCACGCAAAACTGTTTGACCTTCTCCATGGTCAACGAATATAAGGTTTTGACTTTTGCTTGTGGTACTTAACTTTATCCACACAATACAATGCTCCATAATAATTAATTCAAAATTAAATTAGTTGCCATATTTTTTCTGTCTATGATATTAGCATCTTAGATGATGAACAAGACCAAGTTGCATGAGATACGCAACTTTCCAACGCGCTTCAAGATCGAGAAAGAAGACTATAATATGCACATCTAGATATTCCTAACCATCTCCCTCAAAGACATCAAGTGTTGTTTATTTTTTTATTTGACACTGAGTTATTTAAAGCTAAGACCAAGGAACGAGGAAATATACATAATTGTTTGGGTAATCACTGCTCGGAGAGATAATGTAAAGGAAATAAATGCTCGAAGAATTAAGAACCAAATCTTCACATGTGTAGACTAATAGACACCACTGATGAACTTGTTGAGATCATATTCCTACTGGATTCACCGGTAAGAATTCTATTATTATTGCATCAAAAAGTTGGGGATAATCAAATTCAGAGAATGCTAAGGAGTAAGAAAGCTTGAAGAATGAGCATAAGGCTAAACAGAAAATTAATAAAAAAATGTCGCACATATCCTACTCTTGAACTTCGGTACTCAACTTCCTATATATTAGACATCTAACGCATAAATCATGTACTAGAATTCTCATTCTTGAGTTCGAGATGTTCTTTCACATTGTCAAGATGAAGCGTCATAATGGAACTCGTCTTTGACGGTGTTAATTAAGGAGCTATTCAAGTATGATGTTGATTAACCTAAAAGTTGTAACACTGATTTTCAAACAAAATTTTAATTTTTATAAAAACATAATTCCACTAATATTCATAAAAACACCCATTTTACTTGTTCAATAAAACAGTACAAAATCCCAAGATCAACATGTAAAACTTCAAACGTGTGTGTACGGATCAAGCCGGCGCCTTCCCGCGGTCGTCACTAACACCTGAAACAAATAACATCAACACTGTAAGCACAAAGCTTAGTGAGTTCCCCAAAATACCACATAAAACACATATTAGCCACTCGAGGCTATAACTCTGTGGGTCCGTGCACCCAAACTCTGTGAACCCTCAGGTTCTAGCTCTGATAAACATGCACCACATAAATCACATAAAAGTCATGCAGTACAACACATACACATAACATACATAGCATACAAATACTCTAACACATAACTCTGGTTACCTACTCAAGGTAAAGTATAGTGAGGAGACTCACCTCGTGTGTCTCGGTAACTCGTAACCCTGAAATCACTAAACACTCGATCCGCCGAGCTGTAGTCCCCCTATAGCACAATACATCTCTAATTAACACTCTCCCAATCTAGGGTTGATCACACTATAACAAATCACTCTTGGTCAACGCTGGTCAACGGTCAACGGTCAACTCTGACCGGACTCGGCGAGTGCACTATGGCGACTCGGCGAGTCCGTGCGCATGCACCAACTTCCCTGGAATCCTCCCTTGACACGTCGAGTATTTCCCCCAACTCGACGAGCTCCACCTGGCACGAGTTGTGGGGCCACCACGACTCAACTCGCGAGTCCAGTTTGACTCGGTCCACCTGTCCATCCTGACTCTCCCTTGACCCACTGAGTTCACCTTTCCCAACTCGGCGAGACCACTCGCTGAGTGGTCGCGCAACATTCATGCTACTCGCCGAGTCTGTTCTTCGGACTCGGCGAGTCCGTGCCATGCACTGACTCAATCTTGCTCTAAAGGCCAGATCCAGTCCACTAATCCATAGATCCAGTCCCCCCATGCTTATTTAGCACGTAAAGTCACAATCTTGATGCATAAATAACCTCTACATGATCACAAATGATGATTTTGACTCTATTACTTCAACACAAGGCCAAGGACTCCATTTTCACCCATAAAGCTTGATGAGTGAGGCCCTCTGGACCTCTATGGATCCAGATCCATGGTCTCAACTCAAAGAGGGACAAAAGGGCACCAAATCACCCCATAAATGATCATATTAAGCCCTAACTTGCATCAAGTTCACAAACAGGAAATGGTCCGAAAATAATACCTCTAGAGTGATGATCCAAGCTCCAAATCCACGAAATAGCAACCTCCTTTGCTTCCTCTTGCCTAGAGCCTCCTTCTTCTTGCTAAACAACACTCACAAGGTCAAGATTTGCTCTCAATCCTTCACCAAACGCTCAAGAACTCTAGGGACACACTCTGGGGGTTGGATGAGCGCAAATGACGGCCATAAGGCCCTTTAAATAGGCCACAAACCCGGAGATTTAGGGTTTCACTACACAGCGCAGACTCGCCGAGTCCATACCTTGGACTCGCCGAGTCCAAGCGCGCACCTTCGCTCAATCCCGCGTCTCTACTCGGCGAGTCTGAGCCCCGACTCGCCGAGTCCCTCTTACAAAATAACATAATTAAACTTTCATTATACCTGGTAAAAATCCGGATGTTACAACTCTCCCCCACTAGAACTGGACTTCGCCCTCGAAGTCCCGCTCTAAAACAGCTCCGGATGCTGCTCCCGCATCATATCCTCCGGCTCCCAGGTCATCTCTGATCCCTTCCGATGTTGCCACTGAACCAATACCAGAGGTACCTCCTTGTTCCTCAAAACCTTGATCTTCCGATCCCTAATAGCCACTGGTCTCTCCGCATAGTTCAGGCTTGCATCAACCTGAATATCCTCAAGTGGAACCACTGCCGACTCATCGGCTATACATTTCCTCAACTGCGATACATGAAAAGTGTTGTGAATCTGCCCCAACTCTGCTGGTAACTCCAGCCGATAGGCTACCCGGCCCACCCTGGCGATCACACGAAATGGGCCAATAAACCGGGGTCCCAATTTACCCCTTTTCCTGAACCGGATCACTCCTTTCCAAGGAGAGACCTTCAGGAGAACAAAGTCGCCGACTTGAAATTCCAACTCGGACCGGCGCCTATCCGCGTAACTCTTCTGCCGGCTCTGAGCGGTCAATAACCTCTGCCTGACCAGCTGTATCTGCTCTGTCGTCTGATTCACGATCTCTGTACTGCCCATTACCCTTTGCCCAACCTCTCCCCAACATATGGGAGTCCGACACCTCCTACCATATAACAGCTCAAAGGGCGGCATACCAATGCTCGAATGATAGCTGTTATTGTAGGAAAACTCCGCTAGAGGCAAATACGAGTCCCAACTACCCCCAAAATCCAATACACAAGCTCGAAGCATGTCCTCGAGTGTCTGTATCGTCCGCTCACTCTGACCGTCGGTCTGGGGGTGGTATGCGGTACTAAAATGCAGCTTAGTACCCAATTCCTCATGAAATTTCTTCCAAAAACGGGAAGTGAACCGCACATCGCGGTCTGAAACAATCGAGACCGGCACCCCATGCCGAGATACAACCTCTCTCACGTAAATCTCTGCCAATTTCTCCGCTGAAGAACTCTCACTGATGGCAGAAAATGAGCGCTCTTTGTCAACCTATCCACGATCACCCAAATTGCATCAACTCCTCTGGCAGTCCTCGGCAATTTGGTGATAAAGTCCATAGTGATCTGTTCCCACTTCCACTCGGGAACCTCCAATGGCTGCAACTTGCCATGCGGTCTCTGGTGTTCGGCCTTTACCCTTCGACAGGTCAAACACCTCTCGACAAACCATGCTACATCCCTCTTCATACAGGGCCACCAATACTCCTTCCTTAGGTCCAAATACATCTTCGTGGCCCCGGGATGGATCGAAAATTTCGATCTATGAGCCTCCTCCATCAATGTAACACGGGTACCGCCCACAAACGGTACCCAGATCCTGCCCTGATAAGTCATAAGGCCTCGACTATCCGATATAAACTCAGAAACCATCCCAACAACCCGCTCCTCTTCTGCATCTCCGGACGCACGGCCTCGGCCTGAGCCCCACGAATGGCGTCCAGAACTGGAGCTATCACGGTCAGTCTCAAACATACATCTCGCAGGGGAGCACTCTCCGCCCTGCGGCTCAACGCGTCGGCTACCACATTAGCCTTGCCCGGGTGGTACAAGATCTCACAATCATAGTCCTTGACCACATCTAACCATCTCCTCTGCCGCATATTTAGGTTAGGCTGATCCATCAAGTACTTCAAACTCTTATGGTCCGTGTAAATCGTACAACGAACCCCATACAAGTAGTGCCGCCAAATCTTGAGGGCGAACACCACTGCCCCCAACTCCAAATCATGTGTGGGGTACCTCGTCTCGTGAGGCTTCAACTGCCTCGATGCATAAGCTATCACATGACCCTTCTGCATCAATACCGCTCCCAATCCTAGGATCGATGCATCACAGAATACCACAAAACCTTCCATACCTTCCG